CCCCCCCCCCCCCCTGCCCCCCTTCCGATCCAGATGTCCACCACTCGCTCCTCCCTCCTCCTCGCGGTCGTCGTGGCTGTCATCGCCCTGCTGGCCATGAGCCAGCCTGGTGCCGCCCTCACCAATGATGTCTACACCAACGGCCGCCGCCTGTCCGACAATTCGGAGTTCCGGGCCCAGCTTACCAACCGCGTCGTCCCCCTGAACCCCATCATCAGCGAGGGTCGCCGGTGCTTCATTGACTCCGGTCGCACCAGCGGCCCGGTGACCGTGGCCTCCGGGTACCTTTACGAGGCCCAGGGCGCCAACGTCTGCTGCAAGGAGCGCGGTAAGATCATCCGCAGCGACGGGCACCTCCTGTGCCGGTACAACATCGCCGACACCGACCAGTACAAGAACACCAACTTCTATGTGGCGCAGTACAACGCCGTCGACTCCGACTGCCTGAGCGAGTGCTTCGGCATGGGTGCGTCTCTTTGGACCGGGGCCCGGGGGGTCCTCTTCTCCCTCTCGCAGCCCTCCCGCCCCGGGGCCGGGCCCGGGCCCGCCCCTGTTGTGCAGGCACATGCTCGCAAGGACAATGGCCTCCTCGATCCGAGAAAAGCTCCCCAGTGCTAACATCTTCCTTGCTGCTCGCCCACTTGCTGCACGGCCCCCCCCCCTCCCGACCCGCCTCTTCTCCTCCTGCGGATGCCGCTCCTTCGCCCGGCGCGCAATCTTGGGATGTCAATGTCCAGGCGGTTGCGACAAGTGCCTCGGAGAGTGGAAGATCACCTGTGAGCAGTTCTGCCGTTCGCCCTTCGGCGGTGGCTACGACTCCGGTCGTTGTGGGTACCCTGGCAGCCGCGACCCGAACCGCTGCTGCGAGTGCACCTTCTACGCCAACAACCTGTGGTAAGGATCGCCGAAGCACGGATGGCTGTCGGTTCCCCACCGCGGCTGCATTTGCGCGTCCCCCTCGCGCGTGCAAGGGTGTCTGCCCTATGGCTTGCTCTCTTTGTGGCCACTTGCTCCGTGCCATTCCCCCCTCGTCTGTCTCTCTTCTCCGAGACGCGACGGCCTCTTTCCTTCTCTCTCTCTCTCTCTCTCGCGCGCACTCTCGCGCGCACAGGCATCCCAAAAGGCCGCATTTGTCGTGTCCTCTGCTTGCCAGAGGCCCGGCACACGGCGGATACCATCAGTCTCACCCGGGCCAGCCCCTTGATCGGCGTTGGCGCTCGCCTGTGCGCACGCACATGCGCCCTCTCTCCATCCTTATTCAAAACGGCTCGGAGCTTCTCTACTTCCCCTGCATCTTTCCCCCTCTCGCCCTCTTAGCCCTGCTCCGTTGCCGCTCCCTCCCCCTCCTTTCCCACCCCCACCCCCCCCCCCTCCAATAGTTACAGTCTCCTTAAAAAAGAAAAAAGCAACAGCCCTTCTCCGCCCTCGCTCTCGGTGTCCCGGGGGCTCCTTCTGCAAACCTACTCTTGCCTCTGCACCCCCCCCCCCATGGTCACACACGTGTGTGGGTGTGCGTGCGGGTGTGTGGGTGTGTGTTTGTGGTCTTGAGTCGCCTCCGGGAATTGCGTCCCCTGTTCCTTTTCCTCCAAGCTCGCATGCGCGTGCCAAGGGGCAAGACCGGATCCCAAAGGCAGGAGGGGAGGGGCGGAGAGAAAATAGCACTCTCAAAATAGATCTTTCAAAATCCCGCCCGCCAGTGGCCCTCCCAGGGGAATGGGCACACATATCCGGGTGTGAGGAGGCGAAGAGAGAAGAATCAGGTCGCTTCTCGGCATTCTCCCCTCGCTGGCTGGGCGCTCCCAGACACAACCCGGGGGGGGGGGGGGGGGGAATCTCCACCGCCGATTCACTGTCCACACCGATGGCTCCTCCCCCCGCACATGGGGAAAAAGACTCCGGTCCAAGGACGAAACCTGAAGCGGGGAGACCGGGCCCGCGCGAGAGAGGGGGCATCCCGGGATGTCGTGCGGCCACGGTTGATTGGTAGTGCCCCGGGCCTTCGCCGTGGATGAGGGTGTATTTCTTCATGGAAACAACCCGCACTCGGCCGAGTGTCACGGTGGGGGAGAGGGTAGCGCCTCGGGATGGAGGGCGCCGCAGGGGCTTGTTAGTGGTGCGCGACACGGGGGCGGGACGGCCATGCTCTCGAGAGGAAAGCAGAGCACAGCATGCTAGGAACCGCATGGAAGCGTGATCGCCCACCAGCACTGCCTCGCGGCATGAGCCACGGCACCGCCTCTCCCCGGCCGGCGCGCGGGAGAAAGCAAGACTCGAGGGGGGGCAAGCCGCCCGGGGCCTGGAGTACGCTTGCGTCTTCGGCCGGGAGGCCGGGCGTCCACGTAATGCCATGGGGGATCATGCGCGCAAAGGACCCGGGGTGGGATGTTGCGTCCGGCGAGGGGCAGGGGGGATGCCGACTCAAGGGAGGGCCCGTTTGGCCGGACAAGCTTGGACAGGGGCGCGCCGCCGGGATCCCAGGGGGGGGGGGGGGGGGGGCAGGGCCATGGCGCCTGGACCATCTCAACTGCCGAGGAGGCCGAGTGATCTGGGGGGCATAGCGTCGCGCCCATCGGCCGCCGAGGCTATGTGCTGGTTTGCGTGAATGCACATGTTCGCCTGTGCATCGCCGTCTACGTATCTGTCTGTCCATGTGCGCTTTTGTGTGCGTGTGTCTGTGTCTGTGTGCGTGTCGAAAGCCATCCCAGAACGATAGCCCGATGCTCGGGCGATCATGGGGCCCCCTAATTCCGCCTGCACAGGGGAACATGAATACCGCATAAGGGGGGTAGGCGCGAGGGGGGCAGGGGCAGGGCGGGGACGAGGGGGGGAGGCGGCGGCTATGTTCGCCGTTCATGGCTGGTCTTTTGCCATGGAGGGGGTGTCTAAGCCCCAAGGGGGTGGGGGGGG